TTTTTACCAATATCAAAAAGTAATCTTTCATTGTCATGATTAGATAAATAATTAACAAAATTTTTTGATGAAAATGAATATTTAAGAGTACCTAAATTTCCCAATGTATCCATTCTCTCTTTTACTAAAGCAAGAGCACCTCTTAAACCTTCATGAAATGATGTTGACCAACAAGCATCAACTGGACCACCATTTTCTTTAAGTAAATCTTTTCGTTCTAGAATATATTCAGCTTGAGAAAAAAATGGTTGCGATCGACGAACTGAACGAGCAACTGAATCCAAATGACCAAGAATATCATAATTATCCATTTGCTTAGCTAAAATATAAATTCAATTAATTTTATTTTTATGAAAAGTTTTTTTTTTTCTAAATTGTTCGGTCATCAATATTTTCATAGAAACCTTATTGCACATTACAGTATAATACAAACATATATTCTATGTACTTTATTGAAAGTAGAACGGAAAATCTAATAAAAAAAAGTATTTAATCCTTTACCCTCGTAGTGGTTGCAGAGAAGCCACTGATAGAATAATTTTGTAAATACAGTATTAATTTGTCTAATATGCTAATGATGTGGGCTGATTCATCGAATGTCTGTATCTTTATGTACGGCCCTTTGATTGGTTCCATGATCAAGTACTGGAGAAAAGAGATTGAACAACATAATAAGTCTTGACGTTTTTTTTTAGTTTGACCATATTATTGTAGTAATAGACATAAGGAAGGAGTGCACGGGTCAAAATTAATGTCAAAAGAATACATGTGTTTTTTTGACACATATTATTAAATAAATATCTACTTTGCTTTGAGCCATTTTATCAATTCTGAAGATATTTAATTCATAATAAATACTATTTCAACTTCTCATGAGTTGAAGCTTCTCATACGTATATTAACTTAACTTTGTTTTTGACTGTCTTTCAGCTGTTAATCAATGACTCCATGATCAATTGTATGCTCTAGTATGCGTAATTATCCGAATAATCGTGAAGTTTTCGAAATATATTTAAGCTACTAGTAAGCTTCTTTGTCGATTTATGTAATAAAGAAATTCTGAAAGATCTCTATTGAGTGTAGGTAGAAAAGATTTCCTTTCGAAAAATTTGAATTTTTTTATATTTTTCAAAATTATCGGTTTTCTAGATCCGATATTTCAAAGGCGGAGCGATCATTAAAAAAAATGTTTTTTACTAATTAATAGTCCATGAAGTTCACTGCAAACGGAGATGAAAGGTTAACAATTTCGTATAAAGAACTTGAGTTTTCTACATTTCTTTTCTTTTAAATACAACTATATGTTATAAAATCAATTCAATTGTTTATATTTAGTTTACATTGAGAGAACGAAGAAAGAAGCAAATTTATGTGAAAAAATTGTTGAATTAAGACTCTTTATATATTAATCTAATTTTAAAATATTGTTTTTAGACATAAATTCTTACAGAATCGATGTTGTACATTTATTCGCACTACAAGCGATACACTAGTAGTAGATTGTCGGTGAGAGAACAAACTATCAATATGCTGTGGCAGAATAAGACGGTTTACTGATAGATTTTTTTGGTCCAATTTGAACTATGTGGAAAGAAGAACTCATCTTTTTCTCTGTTTTAAAAATTCTTAAGAGTTTGCTTATTATTTAATCTTTAGCATTTGTGAGTTAATTATCTTTAGAATAATAAATTCTATTTTGAATCAATATTTAATTAAAAAAATTTGAAAAAAGACAAACCTGCATCAAATCTAATACCATCTAGATGGAATTCTCCAATCCAGTATTTAACAACATCACTCATAAACTTAACAGCAGGTTTTATATTTAATTGTTTATCTTCAAATTCATAATTAAATTCAGGTCCCCACCAAAATGGATCTTTAAAAAGAATTATTAGTAAAACATAAATATATAAATACAATAAATTACCTTCAGGATGATGTTTTCCTTTATAATACTAATATAAATACATAAATAAATATTTTATTATTTTATTTTTATAAATGATAATAGAAACTAATTAAAAACGAACGTTACCCAATAATCTTTATCAATGAGAGCAAGAGAACATTTTTTATCTGAATGATTAAATACACCATCAAGAAAAACACGAATTTTTCTTTGATGACATTTATCAACAAGTAATTTTAAATCATTAATAGAACCATATGACGATTTAAGACAAAAGAAATGGCATGGTAAATAACCCCAATCAGGTTCTTTTTCTTCTATTCCTAGTTTAATAAAATAAAATATTTTTACAAAGATATGTTTACATTCTTATTTACTTGACTATTTTTATCAATTCGAAACAGCAAAGATTCTGAGGAAACTACTGAGAATAACATTACACAACTCTTAATGAATGAATAGGTATAATCAAATTTTTTATTGATAACCTTATTTAAATGGTTTCTATTTATTAGATGAATGAGTTTATTTGTTTTTTAAATATTTTAATTATTCTTAACAAATATTTTTCTCCTATAATAGGATGATATTAATAGATAAATTCGTCTACTTATATAACTATTTAAAATAGAATTTTCTCGATTGCTTTATTAATAATCTTTATATGTATTGATTAATAGTTGAAAAATTTAACTAAGATTTTCACAAATTCTTTATTTAATATGTTGAAGTCTGACATATAAATTAGTTTAAAAAAAATTATTATCTTACCCATAATTGGCATTAATTCAATACCATTCATGCCTAAGTCTGATAAATAATCTAATTGATCAATAACACCTGAGAACTGTCTATTATGAGAAAAATCGGCAACGTACAATTCATAAAAAATTAAATCATTATTCTCTGGTAGTTTAATATGATCGTATTGCCATTTAAATTCTTCTTCATATTTTTTTCCATCTTTGATTGTTATAATACCGGTGTGTTTTTCACGATCATATTTAGTTGTATAAGGATCAATAATATCAATTGATGTTGATAATATCCAGCTCTTTTTACTTATTTGAAATTTATATCGATGATCACCGTCACTAATATTATCTACAGAGCATATAAATGTTCCATCTGATTGTTTATCCATTGGTATATCTTTATCGTCTAATATAAGTTTAACTGTATCAATTGTTGGTGCAAATAATGAAAATATCATGTCGAAATGATTGATGTATGAAAACAAATAAATGACGTTCGAGTAATTACTTAGATTTCTCTTTCCATTTAGTCACGTGTAAAGTCACATGTTAAGTGCCATTACAAACTTGTACTTCATCTCAGAGAAAAGAAAAAGAATATTAGATGGATTCTATATGAATAAACAATAACAAATATCTGACATCTATATTATTACAAAAATATTAAAAAAATTCTGATCACAATTGATACTAAATTCATTAATTAAATTCTTCTTACAAACTTATCTAACAAATAGGATGTAGACCTGGTTCGATGTGAGTCTGTGTGGTTGAGTGTAGAGTATAGAAGTATTACGAGAAAATACTCACGCCTACATCAACACTCCACTAGTATTGGCTGATGATGATACCCAAAGATCAGCTCTATTTGATATGGAAATAGAGTGTAGGTGAAGAAAAGACACCTACACGCACATCCGTACTCACCGTAGTTCACCACATTACTAAAATTACCGAATATTCGAATTGAAAGTAGTTTGATGTTTTATTGCAAAACGTCTCGCATGCATGACACGTTAATTAATCGTCGTAAAATTTACTTTGTTCATTAGATCATGCATGATATGACGGGTTATCGAACTTGAAAGACAGTATGTGGCTATTTAGAAAAATATTGCATCAAAATTTAAAAGTGTTCTTTCATTCATAAAAGTCGATATAAATAAATTCGAGAAGGCAAACAGGAGGATTTTTCTGATATCCAAAACTATCTGGTGAAGGAAGCACGGTTCTTTTTCATTCTTAATTTATTTTGAGACAGTGGTAATAAGTAAGATATTGCTGATTGTTTTGATGAAGATAATCAGCATATCATCTGAATTTCGATGAAGTTAGGTAAACAACCAGTATTTACACGTACCGATGAAACATGAATCTATTCATTCAATTACGTTTCGTTTGATTTACGAGTGCTATAACCCTCAGTTTTGTGTTTCAATACCTTATTTCAATGCACCACTTTCGTTCTTCAGAAATCTGATAGTCCTTATCTTTATTTGCATTTATTCTTTCTTTCTTTCTCTTCAAAAAACAAAAGTTAGAATAAAAATTAAGATCACATCGCAAAAAAGAGAGCGGGTATATATCGAACAGAGGAGAAAGAGAGAGAGAGAAGAATCACAACCATCTGCTATCATGAGAACAAAGAGTAAGAACAGAACCTAAAATGGCAAACGGAGGTAGTAGAAGATCAAGTAAGAAATGAATCTGCAATGATCGTAAATGACTATGCACGACAGTTTATGATATCATTGACGACCGTTTGATATTCATCTAGATCTCATGAGCAAACAGTTTCTCACTTTCGAAAGAGAATTTTGAGGAGATAAAAAAAAATCATAATAATGTTTTTCTTCAAGCAAGCTGAGGCAAAATGACATCGTTGAATGCTGTAACGACTAAGAAAAATGTGTTCTATTTGCTCGATTGACAAGAAAGCAAAAGCGTGAACCGTTTGCACGAAGAATGTTTCGAAGAACGATAATGTTGAACGACATTGTCCTGCCAGCAAAAGCATCATCATCTTTACATCGTGCGCTTTGAATTGAAGATAACGTTATCTGACTCAATAACTACGTGGAGTTTCTCTTGCAGCTACACACTAACTCCATTTCGTAACGTAAATTGAGATTGATGCATGTCTATCGACATCATTTTTAATCAAATCAAATCTGGAGAAGGCTGAAATTTCACAAATCTTCTGTCTAATTTATTCGATTTAGGAATTCCATTTAATGTTACTTACAACTCGTAAACCTTTCTTTGAAATAATGCAATAAAAAGTCATTATATTTTAGGTTAAAAGTTTTATTTAGAAAAAATATTTGCACGAAATGGCTCAAGCATCAGAAATGGATAAGAATAATTCTGCTACGATTGAACAACCTCTCGGAGAGATTGTTGCCGATTGTACACCTCGCGCTCGACCTGCTTCGAATCCAGAACATCATCATTTTCAAGGTCGCTATTGTCGATTAGAATTACTCACTTCTAATACTGATCCAACAATCATCAAACAACTCTATGACGCTTTTAAACCTACTGAACAAACTCATTTTACCTATCTGAAATATGGACCATTCAAGACCGTTGACGAATTCGTAGACCTCATTCGTACATTGGAATCGTCCCCGAACAATATCGTACTGTATAGTGTCATTGTGAATAATCGAGCAGTTGGATTTCTCAGCTATTTAAGAATCAAAGAGCACCAAGCTGCACTCGAAATTGGACATATTAATTTCAGTCAACAGTTGGTGCGTACTCGAGCAGGTACTGAAGCAATATATTTGTTAATTGAACATGCCTTTGATACACTCAAATACAGACGCGTAGAATGGAGATGTCACGCATTGAATGCCAAGTCACGTCAAGCCGCATTGCGCTTAGGTTTTCAGTATGAAGGTACGTGGCTGAAATCAGACATCGCTAAAGGTCGATCAAGAGACAACGCGTGGTACAGTATTGTGGACGATGAATGGCCATTGCTAAAACAAGAATTTCAACGATGGCTGAGTAAAGACAATTTTGATGAAAATGGACAACAATTGACAAAATTAAATGCAGCACAAGTCAATCCGCGTAGCAAGAATTTAATGACATAATCTAGAAGTCGAGATTACATTTTACGAAAGATTTATGATTCAGACACATAAGAAAAAAAACCGAGTATAATAGTGAATAAAAACTCTCATTCGGCTGCATAACTAAACAGAATAAGACCGATTACAAGGAAATATTCTCAAAGTCGATTTGTTATTTTCTCACTTTAAATCCTAAAATACTTGTTTGATGGAATGTATTGTAAGAAATCTAAGTTACCTATTTCACTTAATATTATCTCTTGATCATACACGTTGTGTTGCAATGATTAGAAATTGACTATATCAAGCAACGCCGATAATTGTTTTTATGCTCAATTTAGCAATGAATAAGAAAATGACTGACCATTTGTCTTGAAGCAATGAAGATTTGATTTTAAACAGTTTCATTTTAGAACTCGATGATTCTATATACATGTATCCAATGTCAACAATTGGAATGAAACCTAGGATCGAAACGGTTGAATGCTTTGTTCTTACAACCAATTTCAGACAACGAGAGCATACCATTTTTAAAAACGCATATCTCAGTAAGAGTGCACTTGCCTGGTCTAAAACTCGTTCAATGGATATCTCGATTTAGGCTATCAAGATGTCTTAAAATTAGATTGATGTCTCTACCTAATGAACACTTCTTGATCGAGATGGAACGTTCAGAGATTTTAAGTGGATTGATTTAGACAATTTTCTGTTGATTGAAAACTTCAGAACAAGTATTGCTCCATCTTAATCCTACTGTACTTTTGGTGTATCTACGATGGTTGGTAAATTTCAATGTACAGTAAAATCTCTCTTAAATGAATACCCTCGGAACATTTCAAAAGTGTTCAGTTTTAAGAGGCGTTCACCTGTGGAAGATGTCATCTATTTTACTACATTATGAGGGTAAGTTTCAGGAAATAAGTTTCTTTAGCAGTTCTGAGATAATTGAAGAACATTTTCTGTTTAGTTTATCTTCTTTCATTCAAATTTATTCCTAGAAAAAGACTCTTTCACAAAACAAAACACTTAGCTTTATTTGAAACAACCCTCTATAGTTGTTTGTGTTTGTTGTTTTGAATCAATAGAAATATCAATTAATTTTCATCGTGATCTCTTTCGTAATAGTGTAAAAATTCTTTTTTTTTCGTTTTAATATATTAGATGCAGAACCAATTGAAATGTTGTATTTTTCGGCTAGTTTAGGTTGTGATAAGCCATTATCACAACTGCTATCATTATTTAGTTGAATTTTTTCTTTTAATGTAAGATGATGTCGAGAAGTCATTGTTCGACTGGTATGTACAGTTGTAACAGGCAATAAATAGCCATTTTTAGTGAATTAATCAGAAACGGTAGAGAGTAGAAAGAAAAAAATTCAAGTGTGTTCATCTAAGAGAGGTTATAACAGCAATCGGGACTGTAAAGCAGTGTTCAAGTTCAGAGTGGGGAGGTGTTCACCTATGAGAGAGGTACTTTCAGAAAAAAATCGCTCCGTGGGATCGAGACCTTGTTCAAAATGAGAGATGTCCACTAAAAGAGGTTTCACTGCATTTACTATTTTCATTTTTGAAACTTAACAAACATATCCTCGACTATTCACTTTTCCATTTTCGTCTCTTTTTTTTTCTATTGAACACCCATTCACACTCATACTCTACATCCTTTTACACATTGAAGAGCTAATATGTCGTTTGATTTGTTTGTACAGATTATGTCAATGCCATTCAATCAATTTCAAGGTATATCGGAAGTACTGGATATCCAGATATACATAGGCATAGGTTCTATTGTAGGAGATATTTGAAATTTTGTTGATATCAGAGATATAGTCCTCCTATATCTGCTATGTCTCCTGTATCTTCTCTGTGTAAGACGTGATATGATCACCAAAGACTTTTATGCGGCTTATGCTGAATGAAATGAATTCAAGGAATTTGGCTATGGATGCCCTTTGTATAGCTTATCTAAGAGAATAAATAGTAACAATATGTTATTGTTTTAATTCTCTTACTGAGTGTGCAAGCTCTCTTTGATCACTATATTCGCTGCATTTATATTTAGCGCACGTAAATAATGACCTTTTGTCGTCGATGTAATGGACCCACTTTATTAAAAGAATAAATAGTAAAGAAACCGCGCTTGCATAGCTTGTAATATATTCAGTTGATGATATTTACTCGTTAGTGTAATGCATGTTTCTCATTAAAAAAAAATGAATAGCGAATATGCGTTGTTCGATACATTTCTTTGATTTATGAGTATGTTTTTTTCTTTTATTGCGAATCATTCGAATAGATAAATATCCTAACAATGTCACATGAAAATGAAGTGCCAAAAGTGAATTACGATGGTGATGTATGTTATTTTATTTATTTGAAAGACTACGTATAACATGGGCTTCTTTTTTTTGCCTGACGTTTTTTAGTCTGATCAAGTGGTAGTGAATACATGTATATCAAAATCCAATTGATCGGCAACAGTGTATGTATCTTTTGTTCTTATTCTTAACAAAGATTGACATTTTTAGAGGTGCATCTTTTGGAAGCAAAACATCTCTCTTGACTATTTTTTCAATTGTTGCTGTTACTTTGCTCTGTACAACAACTGTCATTCCTACGACTGCTACTTTTACTAAAAGCTTACAGACAACAACAAGTATGCAAAGAGTGGTAAATCTATTTACATATTATCTTAGTCACTGTAGCAATGAAAATTCTACATAAAAGGGAAGATGAGGGAAACAATTTTTTAATAGATAATAACATATCGAATTCTATCAACGATAAATTATATCAAACTCTAATTGTGTCGATCACAACCAAAAGTAGATAAAACAGTACTCAAACTAAAACTAATTCAATTTCTTGTAGCTATGCAAGCCGAACATTGTGTTTCGTCGTTTCGCATCATGAGCTACAATATTCGATTAGACCTGGCTCAGGACGGTCAAAATCAGTGGAGTCTCCGCAAAGATCGTCTAACCAGTCTCATTCGTTATCATAAGCCTGATCTTTTCGGTGTCCAAGAAGCTCTGCTTCAGCAAGTGATAGACTTAAAGATGGCATTGCCTGCCTTTGATTGGTATGGTGTAGGTCGTGACGATGGCAAAAACAGAGGCGAGTTTTCTGCCGTCTTTTATCGTTCTGATCGCTACAAAATACTTGATAACGGTACATTTTGGCTTTCAGAAACACCAGACATTGCTGGAAGTAAAGGGTGGGATGCAGCTGCCATACGAGTGTGCAGTTGGGTGAAACTCCAAGATCGCTGGACTTATCAGACACTATATCATTTTAACACCCATTTGGATCACGTAGATGTGATGGCTCGTAGTGAAAGTGCTCGTTTGATTGTGCATCGCATTCACAATATAACTAGTTCAATAGAGCCGGTGATACTTACTGGTGACTTTAATACGGGACTCGATTCAGATGTCTATAGAACTATCATCACGAATACTTCTTTTCAAGATGCGAAGAATTTGACGGAGACGCCTCATTATGGTCCAGATGGCACTTGGGCTACCTTCTTCGTAGGACAAAGTCTGGGCGAGCGCATTGACTACATCTTTGTAACGTTGGAGCATTTTACAGTACTACAGCAAGCAATTTTAACAGATTCGAATAACGAATATTTTCCATCGGACCATCTGCCTGTTCTAGTAGAATTGGTTATGAAGAATCGCACTCAGGCTGACTGAAATTATCTACTTATTTAGAACCAATGCGCGCATATGAGCATGATAAATGTTTTTCTATCCCAACCTTCAGCTTGATTGAATTTTTGACGTGAAGATCTAATATGAGCTTAAATATTCAGATTCTTCCGATATTTTAAAATGAAATATTCTTGTAAAGAAGGTTTGTCTGAAATGTGTCAAGAAATTCGAAATGAACCAATTGTTTCTATTTATTAATATTCAGCTTTCACTGTGGATATGGTCGGTATCGCAGGAAAAAAATCCATCATAATTCTACTGAAAAGAAACACTGCCATCTTTTGGTTTTCAAAAACCTCATTCAACTCGATGCCAAGCTAGACTGTATTTTGTTTGAGTTTGGGTGTGAGTCTTCTAGTTAACTACACTTACAGCCACTATGATACCAACAAATTTGTGACCGAGTGGTTATTATTAGTGAAAAATCATAAGATCGGTGGAATATTCTTGACTGTCAGTTTCAGATCGTCGCATCAACCATAGCCAGCGAATTGAACTCTTATTGTAGGTTGATAAGTGTCTGATCGAACTCGAACTGTTGTTGTACTGTGTTCTAACAAAATAACATAAAGAACTCATGTTTTGAAGATTCACTTGCAAGTAATTGTGAAATTGTACACGTCAACAATCGATATGTCCGTTACGGAGCATGTTTGGATCATGATTAATTTTTGTACCGTTGGGTAGTGAAGTGCTGAGTCGTTGGCTCGAAAAAATATTGAGTTGCTTAATTCGGTATGAGTTAAAGTTGCTAACATCAAATCGATTTTATTAAAATGCATACCATTTATTCTAATACCAGTAAAATCGGCATGATATAAATTAGCTTCAATAAAATGAACTTTCGCAGCTTTAGCTCTGATGAAGATTGTATTTGCACATGTCGTGTTTATGAAATCGATGTAACTTAGTTCGAGATTCTTAAAATTGATATTGATAACAAAGGCATGAAAGAAATTGACTCGCTGAAGATGCGCATCAATGAATACAGATCTTTCTAATTGGGCTCAAGAAAAATCCGCTTCGCTGAGATTAGCTGCGTGAAAATTAACATTTTTATAGTAGCAGCTGAAGAAAACAGCTGTGCTCAAAGGACCTTCATTGAATGACATATTCGATAGGATCACATCGGTGAACATAGTACCACACGACTGTGCGCAATCTAATCGAGTGTGCATCAGGTGGGCTCTGAAGAAGTCAGCTCGTACAATAATAGTGTCCGATAAATCAGCGTAGTCTAGATTGCTTACGTTGAATCGTGCATTAGCGAAATCTATTTCACTAAAATTAGCGTTGGATAGATCTCGATTAGAAAATGAACTATTATGTAGCATAGCACCAACAAGTGAAAAATCTCATAAGGTTCAATGATGTATAATGTGATTGCTAGAATCGATCTCGATCAAGTCGGCATCCGACAAGTCGAGTGGATTGTCACTATTGATCAGTTGTTTAGCTTTTTAGAGGATTGAAGGAGATGAGTATTTTTGGAGGCATCGAGCTGTCGAATAACATTGAAAGTCTTCACTCCTGTGATAGTAACGATTATCGCATCGACTGTCAATCTTTATATATTCTCCTTAATTAGATTTTCAACATTGTTCATATAGGTGACGAGCAATGAATCTCATAGCTGTTCTTGAGTTACATGGAGTTCATGGGCTCTTTGTGCTTCAGACATGATCCACTGCTTTTCAACCAATAGATCGTCTTGTATTCGGTTTTGTTCACGTTGTTCTTGAGCCAGTTGACGATCTTCGTCACATTGTTAAGCAGCGACACTTTGTTGATGAAGAGTAACGACAACCGTGAAAATACCTAACATAAGCGGGAGAAGTAGTGAATCAACTAACTTCAAAATATCCTGCACTGTCACACCTCAGAATCGTCGTACTGGAAGAGACTCTGTCATTGTATACTGGTCGCACATTACCATCTCTTCAAATGAATCAGTTCACGTCAATAAATCCCATGTGTACCCATACCTATACCCTCATAACGAAATGTCGAACTTTACTAAGCTATATCGTTGGCTTTTAAATCAATCAAATATTTTTACATTGAAAAAACCTAATATGCGAACTAGAAATCTGAGAAACGTTAAAGATAAAAAAACAAGCATTAGTTAAAGAATGTTTTTCAAATTTAGTAATAAATTTGTATTTCTTAAGCATTATATTGAGTCGTGACTCATTAATGAAAAACGTTTAGAAACCAAAGCTGCGTGAAATAGTGTCTATTGCCAAAACTATCAGTTGTCTAAACATTGAACTAGTATCTAGAAGCATTAGAAACGAAGTTAATTCTTTTTACGTAGTTTGTTTAAAATAGATCATGTCATAAAAATGTAGCAGAAAACAAAATAATTAAGTTTCTTATTCTTGATAAACATTTCACTTTCAATACTCTACATTCTACAAACATTATTATTAAATATGAACGTTTTTTAGAAATATTTAGGTTTTGGTTTTTAACGCTGCTCGAATTCGTTCTTGAAAAATATGTTCGTACGAACTTTGTAGTTCATATATTACTCATTCCAACAAGAAATAAATCAATTAGTTTAGAAGTCAGCAACGACGGAAGTAGAGTTTAATGTTTTTTTGTAGATGCTTTTGCATTACCCTGTTATTTCTATCTGTCAACAGCAAACATGCTGATTATTGACATTTTTATTCAAAAAATATCCTATAAATTTATTTTCTTTTACATTAGGTTTATTATCAGTGACGATTTTAATATCTAAGTGTTGATGTTTATTAATTGTCCATCTCTACAACTTTTTCATCTAATATGAAATCATCAACGATTATTGTGCTTTGATGAAGTAGTTAAACATCTTTGAATTTTTATTCTAAAAAGTCTTTAAAAAAATATTTTCAAACAAATAATAACGTTTTGTTTTCATAACCTCTTTATTACTTTCAATTCTTCAAGTTACAATAGAAATAGAACAAAAAAAAAACAAGAACTTGACACTATGAATGAATAGAGTAAATACAGCTTTTAAAATATACATATAATTAGTAAGAAAGATAGATCAACACATGTTTTTTAATACTCGAATGCTGCTTGAATTGTTTATGTCTTGCATGTTATTTTTTTGTGACTCTTGAAGTAAAGAACTAGACAAAAAAAGTGATAAAATACCTTGATCAAGAAATACAGGCCAGTTCTAATCAGAAATGTAGAGAAAATAGAAAGAATTTTCTAGGTTAACGATTCAGGCAGTCGAATCCATGGATTTCTGGTAAGTTTCTTCGGCCCGTATTGCTTGATTTTGAAATACTTTTTGTCGTAATGAAAATGCTATGCACTATTGAACTGATCTTAAATCATATTCACTACTGGACCATTGAGTTACTGCTGCAACTTGGTTATGACGTGTTGTCTTTTTACAATACGTTCGCCAACATTTGTTTATGAGAACATGTTTAACTTGTCGACGAAATCTTGCTGATGATATTAAAAATAAATAGAAAGAACCCTAAAACATAATCGAGAAAAAATTATGTAAACATACTATTAAATTTAACCTACTGAAAAATTAAGATAAAAAAGTGAAAAAGTAACAGCTCCGATAAGTTCTTCAATTGATTTACGTATCACACTGTCTTTGATTACGAGGGTGCTAAGTGTATAAAATCGTTGTATAACATATGGTAATGTCATAACAACTAAAAAAATCACGCGAACAATAATCATTGCTGTTAATTGTTGATCAAGTTTTCGTCGACGTATTGGCATCTGATGTCGTACAATACGACGAACATTTCGATAAGCTAATATACTGAAGAAAATCGAAACAATGAGCGGTAAAGTACCAGTCAGTATGAGATAATAAACATATGTAATATAATTCAGAAAATGTTGATTATATATATTACATCCATATGTTGATTGAATTTCAAAGAAGATTATGACTGGTATACAATGTAGAATCCAAGTTATCATTGTAATAATCGTAAGAACTTTAGCTAATTTAATTGTACTCATTTGTCTTATAAATGGATAATAATTAGTTGATAAATATTGATCGATTGCAGAACAACAAACTATAGTGAGTGAAACAAGAGTAAAATATTGGACAAATAATTGCCTTAATTTACACCAAACTAATGATGTTTGTGTTAAATCATTAGCAAATCCATTGATTGCAATACGAGATGTGAATGAAATCATCATTTGAAGTAAATTAACAATTGATTCTACGATGAGATAAAAAGCAGATGGATTTCCTTGGAAAATTTTAAGATGAGTCAATACAAAGATATTCAACATATGTCCAAGAATACCAGTAAATAAAATAATAAAACTAACACAGATTGTATATTGTTGAGAAACAGAAACAATTATATCTGCTGTTGATGATGACATAATTTATATAATGTTGGCTTGTTTATAATGATTTCAATGAATAACGTTTTTCTTCTTTGTTGATTTTCGTAATACGAATTTCGTATTTGTCACTGAGGATAACAATATATATTTATCTTAAGAAAATCTTGCTTTATGTAGACTCTCTGCTAAAATCTTCAAAAGCTTCTGATAATAACAAATAGAATAGGTTTATGACAGTATAGAATTTGAAAAATTGGTTAAAATTACTAATTATGCTATATTAATAGGATTAAAAGTCACGATCTTTCAACTCAATTCTGAGAAGATTTCTGCTTATTCGCTAGAATAGGATTGAAGTTTTTTTTCTTAATTAGTCATAGAATTTTATTCAAAGTTTCCTTTTTTTTCGCATGAATAATGCAAACAAATACATGTGTAGTCTTTCATAAATAATTTTCCGTTGTTATCGACAATAATACTAAGAAGACACCAAAATAAACTTTATGAATAATACTATATTAATTGAACACTGCTATTTTGCAAGAAAGTTCTGGCTCGATAGGCTACAATGATGAGTTTTATTCACTTAGGCACAACTTTCAATATTTAAAATGAGTGCTGGTTTTGATCTCTTGTTATTATTCTCTTATATGACAATTGAATATTTTCTATGAAATACTACACATGATTTTTTCTTACTGGACAATACTTTGAATAGACTTCTACTAGAAACTAAAAACTCAGCGCATTCGAGCAGACTGACGCAGATATTTTTCAATTTTTTATTCTAGCGCTGCTTATGATCCATTCTGTATATTAGATTAAAGTTTTCAAAAACAGTAAAATTAAAATTACTGATGTCAGTGACATGTCTAATGAATATAGCCATTAGACAGTCATGTTCTTTTGATTTCCTGATGTTTTTTTTCTCACTTGAGCGGAAATGACACTAGTAGGTCGGAGTTATTGTTGTTTCTGATATTTCCGCCCAATACTTTCTATGAGCACAAAAGATTTGAATAAAGTTTAATTATATCCGTTCTAAAATTTTTCTATGCCTATTACTAAACACATTCGAATATCTTTGGTTGTTTGACATATATTCAGTAGACCAAAAATACAAATTATAGCTGAACTCTTGTATATTGAGGTTTATCAGAAAACATCATATCCTCATTTATTGTCATGGCACTAACTTGGTGAATATGCATGACAAAGATAATGTTGATCTTTAATCTATTCATAATTAAAAAATAATTATCATCTTCTTTGACTATTTTTTGTACTTAACATCATAAAATTTATGTTAACATGGCATTGCAAAGAACTCTTTAGGACATTATATTCGATTTGATGAAACAAATATAAATATTATTCGAGAATGAATTAAAAAAAAGAAGCAATCGATGTTTTCATAGAACAGATTTGTTTTTTATTGTCGAACTGTGCAGGTTCTGAAAGATCCTTAAAACTAAAACGAATAGTTTCAATGAATCATGTTCAAATGCAAATGATCGAATGAAGATCAATTAAAAAGTGAATAATAATTGATGTTTAAAACAATCAATTTTGTCCATTGAAGATTTCATCATATTTCGACACGACTCACTAATATAGCATTAAGTTGATGTTGAACAATTAGGTGAACCTAAATTGGAAAAAAAATACTTGTTTCAATCAAATTAAATTGTTTTTTTTGATTTTACTAAATAATTCAGCGACGCTTTCATCTGATTGTTTTACATGGAAATATGAATTTCGTGCACTATTTCCAATTAAATACTTTGCTTATGGACTGATGTTATTAAAATTGCTGATGAAGCACATTTAGTTGATTTTGAGATATACATAAACTAAATTAAACCATTAAAATTTAAATTGTTTGTATCGAATTCACAAAAAAAAAATTAACAAACGTTGAAAAGCATGTGAAGTATGATTAACATATTTTGAAATGAAAATTAGAACTATATAAGATTTGAATAAAGAATATCTTTCTTCTATTTCTTCACAGGCTATGATAGACATGTCCATGATATGGCCTATTTCATTCTTATCTATGCTATTCACAAATAGTATTTTCATGATATAAGAGTTTTATAATTGGAGATTAGGGTAAGACACAAAATGATACCATATACTCGATCAATCATATCCATATGTCAATATTTAATTGGCTCAAGCATTTTCTAAACTTACATCGATAAGACGACTTTGATGCCTCATAACAATTATCATTATACAACATTATGAACGTTGAAAGTTTCATTCGACCATTTCTATTATATCGAATAAATCAAAATGAACAAACTTTAGAACATATCATCACTATTTGCAAAAGAAATATGAATGCAGAATTACCTCAAGTACTTTTATTAACAAAAAAATGCTCGTTTATAATACATTTTTTATTTGTCTTCGTTGACATTTATTATTAAAGTTATCTTCTAGCTTGATATGTATGATTAGTATGTAGATGCAGTTTATTCGCAAATAAATGCTATGTTAAAATAATGAAATAGAAATAGGCGAGAAATTTAAAAGATGTGGACGTGCTCTTCTCAACACTCATACCCATCCCAACGCAATGTTCAGCTGTAGATGACAATCATAATGTCTAACAGATACTCTCATATTCGCATCGAAGACGGTTTTCAAGATGACAAGATCATATTGAGTAGTTAGTCGATAGATATTATCGTTATTTGATCGCAGAGTCATCTACTATCGTTTGTTATTAGAGGTACTGTCATCGTTCTGAAGGCATACAGCTTTTTAGAAGCTGCTATGGCGATCTATTTGCTTTTCTTTTCTCCTCTTGAACTAATCATCGGTACTGATATTTATCGGTTGAGAAAAACGATAGGCAGGTTAGGAGTGGCACTTTGTCTTTACTTTACCAGGTAAAGTAAAATTGAAAAATGTCAGAGTTTTTATCTACGCAAGAAAAATATTGTTTTCTACCTTTATTTTACTTTACTTTTTTAAAATCATATAAAAATAAAGTACCACCTCTAGGGAAGTATCAAAAAGGAAAAAAAGTGACGCTTGTCAGGTATCGAGTTTCTCAAATAACAGTGAGTTAGAAGTGACTCATCATTTACAAACTTACTTTTTTCTGTAGCATAAAAAGTCATTTACTGTCCAGAGTATGAACTCAATTTCAAGTCAAATGTATTTTGGTTTTAGAAACATCAATCATCATTGAGATGGGCACTATTTTTTACAGATATTTCTTGTCACACTATTCTTCTCAACAATAGATGCTGTTTATTTCCATTGGTCGATACCCAATGTATTTTGTAAATACCCATTATTAGACTTCAAATGCAAGGCTAGTATGATCATTAATGAAATTCAAACTATTTTTCTTAAAATTATGACAAAAAAAATTTCGTCGATAATAATAAAAATTAATTGTAAGCCGATCTAGTTCATCGTTTTCTTGAATAAGTTGCATGAAGATAAAATGTTCATGCATTTAATTAAAAAAAAACGCTAAGAAAAAGACATAATGGTGTCTCTGGTCTATATTCAAAGTTTTGAGCAGAATAATATCCTCACTTGAGAGTTAAGGGCGTGGGTGTGGATGGGTGTGGGTGTGGGTGGGTGTGGGGTGTGGATGTGGGTGTGGGTGTGGGTGTGGGTGGGTGTGGGTTTGGATAGTCTCTTCACACAAACACCAACATCCCACGCCCACACCCACATCCACACCCATACCCCACACCCACACTCACCCTATTATCAGACTACTTTGTTTTTATCTATCTGACTGATCATCTGATTGGAAGATGTGTTCTTATTCTTGATCAACAGTAGTTTTTTTATAAAACTTTTTCGACAAAAAATCTGTTGACAAATAGTATAAATACGCGAACAGCCGGCTCAACCACTATTGCGACGACTCAGTAGAATATGTGTATCTTTATATACAATCTCAACTAGCAGTTGATTGACACATTGACAGCATTGAATTCCAATGGATTAGAAATTTATTAAATAGTCTCAAGTTTGATATAGACAGCATTATTGGATGAATTTATTGGATAGATAAAACTCTTTAAAAGAAGTGTTTCTCTTCTATTGTTTCCGCGAGGTAGGCTAGTAAATGTTAGAAAAAAGTTGGAATAATAAAATTTGCTTAATTTTACTTGAAATTATAATTTTCCGACTCAGTTTTTAGATATCTCTCGAAACTGGAAGGGGATATCTAAGTAATTTTACTTTTTCAAGCTCACATGTTGTTCTTCAGCTGATGATTGCTAGGGTAGCGGAAACTTCTGACGATTGTTTTCTTCATTGTAATTAGACTACGATACGTCTTGTCTTATTGATGATCTCAAAAAAATTGTAAGCAAGTTCACTTTTCTCAAAATTGAAAAAGCGCATATTTCGGATGAATCTCAGTGAAAAACAGGATGCTTTGAAGACTGCACTAGTCTGCTTGTTTTCTACAAATGAATAAAATACGCGCTCAAAAGATTATTATTCCATACCTGAGAACCCCACCATGGATCTGTGCTATATCTAAACAGTAAGTCAAATCTCCATGATTTTGAGTGAAACTGAATAAGCTACTTGTATCCAAGCTTTTTTTCTAACATCTATTGGTCTATTTAAAAGACTACCAACACTATAACAATCTGAACGACATGTCTAATCTATTTGTCAATATACCTTTTATTCGACCATCTGTTCGTGTGTTGCGCAGTGGGTTAATAATAAGTAAAAAGAAGATCAGTAAAGTTCATTCTTACTTTCGATTGGCAATGACTCCTATGTAAGTAAGTTCTGTAAAAACTTTGATGACTAGCACTTCGTTCAGCGAAAGCCAAGCAGTCAAGGATTTTGTGATTCTGGCAGAACCGAAATCAAACTGGTTAATTGGCGCAATCTTTTTTTGTCAAATTATTCAAGTCTTTCCGTGGCTTGATGTCATTTTAGAAGCCTTTCCCAAGACTAGACCATTTTTGGCTGAAGATACGGTTCTGTTTTCTTATTCATCATTCGATAAAAGACAATATGAACTAAGAGAT